CTATCTGTCTTGTTTGTCACTCTATCTGTCACAATGTCACCATCTGTCTACTAAATACAGTGGGTACCTTTCGACCTCATCATCTAGCTCAGGCAATACCTCTCTCAGTGAGGAGATGTTTCATTTGAACTCCCACTGTCGATATCGCTTGCGTGCAACCTTCTCTGACGTGCTATAGTGCACCACGCTGTCTACCTTCTTCCTTAAGAGTGGATAACGATTTCGTTGCTGAATGGTACTTTCGCCATCCGCATGTCCATGTTCCGTAGCTGCTATCGTGCTGCTACGCCCCCTTCCCGCCGATAGAAGGCGTAGTAACAGGTTCTCATTGCCGACGTTTCGCATTCTCCTTCAGTTCCCTAGCGGAGGATGCTGCCTGCTTGGCCGTTGGTGATTCTGGCGAAGATAAATCCGTTGTAGCCTTCGGTAATGACAATACCATGAAGAGAAAGTGACAAGTTTAACGGGATATGTCGCAGTGCTCTTAACTCTCCTCTTTTCTCCATCGAGGCGTGGGACCCGTAGTGTCGAAGTTTAAATGATGTTTGTTAATGTAAAATAGAATATATTGACAGAAAGTTTTCAGATTCGTGGCATTATATGCAACATTACCGATTTGAACATGTCTCTCTGCCAGCTACAGGAATATGAACGTACTTTAAGTGAAGTTGAAATTTCTTTGGTACGAAGGGATTTGTATTTCGCATTTCTTATCCCCTTTCATCCAAGCGTAGTATAGAATGAATTCGATGAATTCCGGCCATTGGTAGATTTGTGGCAGCAACGCAACGGCGAAATGAACCCACTGTACTTCTATGAAATACTGTGCCGCCAACCCTTCGGTAAAGTGGATGCGTTACAGTTTGAACTGTTAACAGAATGCTTGTTGCAGCAGCTGGTCATGGCGTAAGGTCTGATGCGACCAGGTTGCTATTCGGTTCTGCAAAAAACAAAACGTTTTCAATGCCTCAATCGCGTCTGAAAGCCATTGAAGATCTACGTAGAAGATCGCTGGTGGAAAAGAAGGACAATAAATCCAAGGACAATGAGCCGACGAAACTCTGTGGTTTATTCCAGTATAATGAGACAACAGGTAAATAAAACGTTTGACGCATACTGCATGATGTTTAACTCTTCTGATCATTTTCCACGCTGTACGATTTAGTGAAATTTCAGGGTATGAGACGTCATCTGTTATTCGCATGCAATGGTAAACTTGTGGTTCATTCGCTGACAGATGACAATTTCTCCTTCTCCCGTCCATTCTGAAAGTTTTCATTATTTTAAATCTGATTCTAAAGTAGCTTAGTAGTAACAGAAGTAGTTTTTCAGTAATTCATAGTTCTGGCGTTATTAAAATATGAGGCAAAATGCATATTACTTTTCATGAAATGTACTGCCACTATCACTTATCGCCATCAACACGATATTATCGAAATGCGTTCAGCAGTGATCGTTCATTTAGTTAGTTAGTGCATGAAAAGCTGAAGGTAGCCTGAACGATGGGAAGGCTCACGAAGCAGCTGTTTGAGTGGCACGAAATGAATAGCCGGCATGATTGATTGAATGAAAATGAACGAACCAAAAGTTTCTTTCGTCTGTACCAAACCCCATGTTGCCTTGGCGTCGTCGAAGAGTCATCGCTCCTCGACACGTCTCCATGTATTCCATATACATGGTGTCATTGGGAAATTTCTTACATATTTTAATCGAATGAACTACATTCTTATTCTTGGTCTTTACTTAGCTCACGTGACTGCAAATGCCTTTTTCACTGCACTTAAACTGTGGACGATTTTAATTCAGAACACGAATGTCGGCTGGCATTGGACTCGCTGGCTCTTCCTTCTGATCTGTCTAGTAAAATGTACACGCTGCTTCGCGGTTACATTCTGCTAACTCCGGAAAGTCCGGCTGTAAGGAAGTTGACCAAAATGGTACGAAAAAATTTTGTAAGATGTTTTGTTTCTCATAAATGTTATAGATGAACGTGAGGTTACAAGAGATCCGTTTTTTACAAATGATTGTAGCGTTTGCAGCTGATATTTCTTTCACAACCGACTCCAATGGTACGGAAAAGCAATTTGCAAAGGTAAGATGTGCTGCTGCGGCACTTGACTGCTGCTCCTTGGCAAAAGGATTTGCTTCCGAAATACACAGACAAACGTAGATATGCACCATGTGATCAACTTTCAGGGATCGTTGTCAATTTACCAGCGAGTCTCCAGGATTGGCGACTTCTTCCTTGTCGTGTACAAGCTGACCAGCCAGACGTTATGCTCAAATGAGTCCTTTCTCGTCGTTCGCATTGAGTGAATCAGCTTCGGTATTTGAGGCCATTTCTTTTCGGTCGCTTCATTTTTTGATGAGCGACGCTGGAATGCCGACGCAAGTGAACTGCTGGCTCACCTCTGATTGTCGTCAACTAATGATCAGATCAATGGTCGAGACGTGCACCTCTTGATGCATCGTCGAATAATCTCGTACAATATGACCAACTTGTCAGTGCGTCCGCCTTATTCAGTCTAATTCCGTAAAATCTGCAAAGATATTTTGCATAAAGTAACGTTTCTAAATTTACTAAGGTTGATGCATAGCTAGGCTCTTCAGGAGAAGACTGGCATGCCTTAGGAAGATGTTTGCATTGGTGGACAGGTTCAGAATTTTAAAATAGACTACCTAACCACCAATTCCTCAGTCGCATTCTGTTGTCAGTCTAGCGCCTGAATTAAAGTAGCTCTACCGCCATGAAACGCTGAGTCAACATCAAAGCATTGTTCTGATTGTCTTCTGGACGGAATTGTAAATGAATGTCCTGGCTATGCGCAGTAGGACGCAGATATGTTTTCCTGTATTATTTTTGCCTATTTTTTAGAC